GGGAGGAATTTTCCATAGGGATAGCGGGATTGGGAGAGAGAGAGAGAGAGAGAGAGTGAGAGAGATGTAGCCACCTGATGGGGACTGATGGGGAAGGATGATAAGGGTCCTGGTGCAGAATTCTGAAGGCTCTGAATCTGATTGCAGAAAACAGCAGACGGGGCTATGCAAACCACTGAACTGCTCTGTCAAGCTTTAATCTTTGGATCTTCATTTCTATAACAACCTTTGAATTTGTTGTAGAAATGAACCTTGAAATGTTACTTGTATTTCCCAAGTTTTTAAAAATCCTCTATGCAGGTTTATGCACAAACATTTTCGGGTCAGATGAAAGTCTATGGTGTTATAAAGAACTCTTGAATCTCAACTATTCTTTTTATAGTTTTGGAGATAAAATGATGGGATTTAAGTCACCGTTGGGATTTAATAGGTTTTATTTAGATTCCTTCTACAGTTCCTCTGATAACTGGAGAATGATTCCTCCATAACCTGATAGCCGCTAAAATATTATCTTTCTAAAAAGCTATATGGCTTTCTGAATTATCTAGAATTTATGAAGCTTTAATGTGAAATTGGATTATATGAAATTTAAAAGAAGCAGAACTGAATCCATGCAATAGCCTTTGCAATCAAAAAGATTTGAAAGATTGCGGATAAGAAGTTTGGATATATCATAATACTTCCTAATCTAACACACATAAAAAGAATGTGGCTCTCCACTGAGCTATAAACCTTGCCCTATACATTATGTATAATTTAGCTACCATCTTTTTAAAAGTTTACCAGATAACTATAAAATAATTCAAGTGAGACTTGTTAGACAAATCAATGTTCTCCTGAATCTAATTCTTGAGCTCTATTTGTCCTCTTTCTAAAAAGTCCCCTGAAAAAGATTTGACTTTTTTCAAATCTAAATTATTAATCGAGAAAGAAAACCCACCAGGGAGTAAATGGTTAAAAGCTTTCTCTCAGCTTTCACATTAAAAGACCCAATCCACAATGTTTATTCTTCCATAAAATGGGGAATGGGATGGTAGGGTGAATGGAGAAAATGAGAGACATGATCACATTTATTTATTAATGGTACATATAATTTAAATCTGACCTGAACTTTCATAGGATCTGAACTTATTTACTTTTTGATGGGAAAGATTTGCTATAATTTTGCTACATTAGCATTAGATTAGGTATCTTTGGTTTAGTAATAAATATATTAGTATTTTAGGGGTTCCAAGACTCTTTTATTATAGTTGCTGATATACATATCTTTCTCTCCTAAAATAGAAGAACATCAAAAACATGGGGCCTTGTAAAGTGCATGTCAAAACAAATAAATAAAAACGAGGACAGGAAACCAATACATTCTTTTTTAAATTTTTGAAAAAATGTGCAGTATATATTCTAATTCAGTATCTATTCTAAGCTGTACTTCTGGCAATGTATTGAGTTTCTGCTTCTCTCCTTTGGCCCCAGCAACAGTTTAACATCTTGAAGTAATCAGCAGCTAAGAAAAGGCACACGCTGCTGCTGCCGCTAGCAAGGAAGGACCAAGCTAGACGTGATGGCAGCCGCCATATGTTACTGCCAGGTTCCTCTGAAACAGAGGGAGGGAAAAATAAATATAAAGCACAGAATGCAGGGATGGAGGGTGGGGGCTGTTGATCCTCCTCAGAATTTCTTCTTTCCTTTCTGGCTGTTTTTTATTTGAGTGAGTTAATCTGTACCATAAGGAGAGAAATGAACATTTTGAGAAAAGCAGTTTCAACCAGAAAAAGGCAGTTGGAGAAGGGGTAATTGAGTACTCTTCTTATGCTTTAATTCCCCTCCCCCTGTTTTGTTTTGCTTTTTAGAAAATTAGGCAGGGACAGTAAGCTGACATGCTGGCTCTCACAGATGAGAAATCTAGTTAACAAAATAATTGGAAAACCTACGGTGACCCTTTCCTTTTCTTTCCAAACTAGGCCCCTGTTTTCCTGTGTTCTTTTAATTCCCAAGTAGTTTACAGATTAACAGAGTTGGGAGGGACCTTGTAGGTCATCTAGTCCAACCCCCTGCCCAATCAGGAGACCCTACACCATTTCTGACAAATGACAGTCCAATCTTTTCTTGAAAGCCTCCAGTGATGAATCTCCCATAACTTCCAAAGGCAAGCTGTTCCATTGGTTGATTGTTGTCACTGTCAAAAAATTATCCTTGTTTCTAAGTTAAATCTCTCCTTGATCAATTTCCACCCATTATTCCTTGTCTGGCCTTCAGGTGCCTTGGAAAATAGCTTGACTCCTTCCTTTCTCTGACAGCCCTTCAAATATTGGAACACTGCTATCATGTCTCCCTGGTCCTTCTCTTCCCTAGACTAGCCATGCCCAAATCCTGTAACTGTTCTTCATATGTTTTAGTCTTCAGTCCCCTAATCATCCTGGTAGTTGTACTGGAATCTGAAAATTCTTTAAAAACAATAAATTTATTGTTACCGTTGCCTGATGATAATGATGATGATAATGATAATGACAACATTACCAAAGGAAACAGTTGCCTTCTGCTGGTCAGATTCTTCATCTTAGCTATATTGAAGTAATGTACACTGATTTTAAGCAAGCAACAGTTTATCAAATCATGTGGGGATAATATGATCCTTTTAACCAAACTTAACCAGCTTTTATGCAAAGACCATATGCATTTGGAAAGTCACATTAGCAGGGACTCTCTTCGTACCTGTTTGTATAGGTGATGCTGGAATATGAGAGCTTTTCACAAAAGTGTGACATGTACATAATAGGTTTATTCAACAATGCATTTATTTTTGAACATTTTGGGGAATTAGTTCAAATTTCTGATCATATTCACAGTCTGTGGTAAATGATTACCACAGAATTAGCATTCATCCTTTATAAATAGCTGAAGAAACTCCCTGACACGTACCAAGGCAAAAAAGCAAAAGGAATGCCCATCCCTTAAAACTCAGATTACTTAGTGTTTTTAAGGAAAACATTTTTCTACGGGTCTCTGAGAGCATAGTACAGTAAAAAGAAAAATGAAGCTTTCAGAGTGGGTGATGCAAAGAATTTCCCTGGGCAAAATACAGATATTCTAGTTTATGTGCACAATTTTTAACAAAATCTATAAAAGATTTAGTGGTTTAGGGGTACTTGGCAAAGGACCAGAACCAAGAAAGCAATGGATACAACTTGGAAAGTGAAAAAATATGGAGAGATGCTGTATGTTTCCTTATAGTATTTTAATCTTTATAACATAACAAGGCTTGCTAAAGATAATGAAAGGATTGGGACTTTCAGTTTCATGATCTGTTGGGTGTGGGATGTTTGTCTTAATGTTTAAGGGTTGGGCTATTTTCTTCTCAAGGCACAAGATAGACAAATTCAAAGATTTCTTTTATTGGTTTATGGCAGGGACGTGCAGTCACTGGAGGCAGGGGAGGCGTGGCCTCACCAGTCATAAGGAAAAGGAAAGAATTTTAAAGAATTTTTTAAAAATAATTAAAAAGGCCAAGGTAGTTGCTTCCAGACTCCAAGTCACAGTGACTTTGAGTCTGCTTAGTGTTAACTGTAGGGGNGAGTTCAGCACCTGGGTTCGGTGTCTAGTCCAGGCACCGGTGTTCTGAAATTGAATACCTAAATACTTAAAATGGAAAACCTGCTTAACAGCATTGCCACTGATATCCCAGTTATACAATTTCCGGGCTCTAGTAAACACTAATACCTTCGATTTATCATAATTAATAGCCAAATGGTTTTCAGTCCTGGCCTTGACAATGAAAGGAGAACTGCATCATCAGCGTAAAGAAGAAGCGGGATCTTTGTAGTTGTCAGCTTCGGGGCGTGGGACTCAATTATGTCCAATGTAACCGGCCAGGTCAGATAAAAATATATTAAACAGAAGAGGAGCCAGAACACATCCCTGCCTTATTCCATTCTTAATTGGGATAGGATTACAGAGTTCTCCCTGCAGACCACACCTGACCTGGCTGGAGGTCTGATTGTACAAGGACCTAATTAAGAACAATAAACATCTGTCGATAGAATTCTTAAGCAGTTTTGACCACAACAGACCCCTAGGGACTGAGTCAAACGCTGACTTTAGGTCGATGAAAGCAGTGAAGAGTTTGCCACCTGGTATAGTAGTATATTTGTCGACCAGATGCGCTAGGACAAAGCAGTGATCCAGTGTGGCACAACCCGCTTTAAACCCAATTTGTTCGGCACCAATAATATTGGATTCCTCAACCCAAGTGAGGAGATCTGCTCCTTTTCCTTGTCTGCTGCCCAGCTATTTCTCCAATCCTTTTTAGGACCTCCATTGGGGCGGGCTCCAGTTAAATATAATCTCGGTTTGCAAATATGACCGCCTCCAAAGCAGCTTGCCCGCCTCGATGGTTTGGAGTTGTCTTCTGGGGAAGGAGCAGCTTTCATAACATTCCAATGCCCACTCTGATAGTAGTAGCATCACTAGTTAAAGTATTAGTTAAATCCATTATCTACCAATGGATTCAATATAAAAGCCTAAAAGATTGATTGATTTCTAACGTTTGTACAGCTGTCCATCTTAAAACAACTTTTTAATCTGACACATAGTAAATATCCTTTTAGTTTTTTAACTATGACACATCACTAATTAAATCTAGAATCATCTTAATGTAAAATATCCATCTATCCATCTGCACACAATAGGTACTATATATTATACCATTATGTGCACACGCCTCCACACACATATATTGCTCTAAAACACTCTTAGTTTTCTGTTATTAAATCACTCCCTATAGCAATAGGCAATTTAAAAAAAAATGTTTTAGTCCATTTGGGCTACTCCTTTTAAAATAAATGCATCATTAATCTGCTCATTTTATAAACAAGAATGAATGTCCAGGACTCAACTATATGATCAATTACACGCTTCAGTTATATTTAACATTCCCCTGTTCCAATGCAAAATAGCAAACGGTTCATGCTAGATTTGCGGCAGGACAAATGGATTTAACTCACCTGGCATGCTCAGCACAGATGGAGAAATGTCAGTTTTCTTTGGGATTTGGTTGCTGTTCCAATGCCAGCGAATCTCAACAGGCTCTGGAGGCCCCACAGCATGACATGTGAGATTGAACGGTTCATTTCGGGTAACATTCAGCCCCTGGGGCTGCTTAATGAAATGTGGCAGTCCTGCAGGCAGCAGAAGTAAAAGCACTATTCAGAAGTTGAAAACAAGAGACAGGTAGAACTACGGTGGCCTCTCCAAGCCATGATGCTTTCTCCATTGTAGAACTGTGGGTGTCAGGAGTTGTAAACCATGACATCTGGATTTCCTCAGATTGGAAAGACTGGGCTTATATGATTAAGCTTTAAGCATTAAGTACAATGATTTCTCATTGCAATGTCATTCAGAGGTCTTGGACTTGAGATAATAAGTCCCATATTTAATATCTGTCCAGTCTCATAGAGGAGCAACCTTAATATGATCAAGGGACAAACACAAGAGTTCAGTGTTTCTCAAACTTGGCAACTTTAAGATATGTGGACTTCAACTCCCAGAATTCTCCCACCACCATGCCATTTTAAAACAAGCAAGAGCAAAGGAGGTTGTGGCTTATTTTAATGTTTCATAGAGTAATCTTCCATTATGGTATTTTTAAACATAATTTTTTTAAATCACATAAGAAAATATATACATATACGTATAAATGATGAACATATTCTAAAAATGGTGAGTTAGTTAAAAACAGGGTAAGGAAAGATTCTTGATACTCAGCACAATGACTAATTGTTGTATTTTTATTTATTGATTTATTAACAACAAAGTTAAGTGCACCAGCCAAAATGGATAGGAGCAGTTGAAAGTTAAGCACAAAAATAGTACTGTCAAAATAACTTCCGCTAATCTTCATTGCATGGAAGAATTAAGCAACTGAGCAGGATGGGGTAGTAATCTTGCTACTCCCATTCTTTATCCATATCAATTTCAGATAGGATTTATCCTGTATAAAATCTAAAACCTGTGCATGCCGTTAGCACAGTGTCAAACTTACATCATCACAGTGGCATCACGTGACATATCAGGACTTTCCCCACTTCGCTAAACTGGGTATGGGCGTGGCCAGTGCATGATGCATCGGGCCGGGAGTTTGACAGCCCTACTTTAGAACATTTCCTCTTTGCCTCCATATTTTAATTAATAGATAATATAAGTGATTATAAAGACTCAAAGACTTTGACTCATGCTGCCATCCACATTCTATTCTGTTTTCATACCATAGAATTTTTAAAAAAATTCTGTCTACTTAGATGGAAATTGTGCATTAAGAAAGGGAGTCATAGTGATTCCCCAAGGCCTTTTTCACTCAGTCTAGATGTGCCCAGTCAATTATCTTGTGGTGCAGGTCAACAGTCTCCGTGGCTCTAACATCAAATACTAGCTGTTGGCTTTTTATTACAGCAAATCTGAAGTGGAAAGTTCATGGATTGGTGATAAATCTTTCTGCCCAATATTGGAGCAAATCATCAAATGTAATACCATGATGTCCCAACCCAAGGCTCCCCAACAGCTTCAAACTGATGCATTAGGAGCTATAATTTCCACTATTCCCAGTCAATAAACACATTTGTAGGGCTCCAGCCTGAGAAAAGTTACTTTAAGTCAGTTTTCTCAACCTCAGCCATTTTAAGATGTGTAGATTCCCCAAATACTCTAACCAGAATGCTATCTATAAAATTCTGGAAGTTGGAATCCATAAATGTTAAAATCCCCAAGGCTGCTTTTGAAGTCAATTTAACCTAACAAGGCTGTGATTTCTAAGTTTGTAACAGAAATGAGCTTGAAGTGTACTTTAAATACATGTTAGATGCATTAATTACTTGCTCACTGAAGTGGGAAGAGAATGGTCTCCATTCTCTTAACCAGTATGTAACCAATGATGTTGTCTAAGAGAATAAAAATAGCTCAGGGGCAATCAAAGTAATCTCTATCATTCAGGTAATACCACTATATTTCTAAACCATCTCTTCCCTGGCAAAGGAGAATATGAGAATGTAGTAATGATCCTTTTTTTTGTATTTAAAACAATACTGTCTGCCTGCAGAGTTTCTCTCCCATCTCCATCTAGAACTGGTGTGAGAAATATGGGGTTTTCCCAGATGATGCTAAATTACAATTACCAGGACAATAAAATAAAATGCGGGATGTTAGAAGTTGTAGTAAGTAGCATCTATGTAGGGAGGCAAGGAGGAGTCAATTCCTACTTATTTTATAGAAGCTGATAGAGAGAGGGAGGGAGGGAGAGTGTGTGTGAGACAGTCAATATCTTCAATGAGTTAGCATGATGAGAAGTGCCTCAGCCACCTCCTTATTTATTCTATAAATAATTTCCCTGTCTTATTTTAATCTATTTCTTCTGTACCTCTGGTTCTCTAGGAATTATCACTGTCAGATGGTTTTGCAAAATCACACAACTTTAGCCAACAAGTATTTATTCCCAATTTAAACTTACCTTCCAACAAAACCAAAATAGGATCTGATTCAATTTCCTCATTCTCAATTGTCAATTTGCAGCTGTAAGACCCTTTATCAGAATGATGAGCATTGGGTATACTAGAGAAGAAAAGGGGAAAAAAGACTTATAAGGCCATCATGTTCACTCTGTGACTTAGTCAAGACTCTGGTATTCTTTCTTCATACTGAAATAAATGCTGCAGTATTTTAAGATTCATTAAAAATAAATATGGTAGGAAGGCAAGCCACAAGGGAAATAACTCTGGAACTTTTTAAAAAGAGCATTCTCAGCACTTAAAAATGTTTCCAAGAACTGGGAATACTGGGGTGTATCCTCATACTTCATAGTCCCAAAATGGACTATGCAACTTGCATTAGCTGTGCTAAAGGAGCAAGAGCAAGATAAGAGTTTTAAAGATGTGGTCTTCAGAAAGCCTCCTGGGCTAGGGCGAGTAACAAGATAGAGTAACATGGTCATGGGTTGGGATGAACTTGTTATTCTATGAATCCCATGGACTGGCATTTCATGTTGCTTAGTATGTATAGTGAAGGGAAAGATGTATGGATAATAAAGGAGGATTGTTAGCCTTCTGAAATAGTCCAGATAAGAAGCACACCTAAGACCATTAGGTCTGTCCTTACTGTAAGGTTACATTAACTGAACATTGCAAGTCTGAAAGTACCTCTCCCATCCCTCGCTTTTATGCTCCGAAAAACTAGGGAAGGTTTCTTCTGAGACAAGGTCCTCCTTCAGATCTGTATTTTGTTTATCAGACCATTGTTTAGGCTACAGCTCTTCTTCTTATCTCCCAAGGTCATTCCCACAGGGCATTTTAAGGGGGGTATCTGCTCACACAATCCAAACTCAAAGTAATGGATGTTGTGTTTGGTTAGAAGCTCTCTAAATACATTTCTAGATAATATTTCCTTTGCAGTGACTACATTCATCCCATAAGGTACAGAAATATTTTAGCAAGAGAACACTTGCTGCTGCGTTGTAGTTTCTGAATCTCTTCAATCATATCTCAAGCATGTTCATGAAATAAATGTTCCACAATTCCAGATAAGGAAATAATGAAATCAATTCACACACTGTCCCCATTTTGTTTCACATTTGACTCTTTTACAATAGTCCTAAAATTAAATCTGATGTGCCTTTCAAATGTATCGTATGTGAACTTTCAGAATTCTTAGCCAGCAAGTGTCTGATAGTCTCAATATATCTGGAGGCAACTATATAAGTTGATTTTAGGATCATTGAAGAAGAGACATAATTATAACAGGTCAGAAGAAGGAAAGTAACAGGTTACTCTTAGGATTCTAACATTCCATATTTATTTAACTCCAGAAAATGTTAACAATTAAAATTAAATGGAATAAACATTGATTACCTGAAAGCAGCTTTCATGGTGGTTAATTCATAATCGTCAAACTGGTAATAGTGGCTGCCAACATTAAGAATTTCCTTCCCATTCTTCCACAAGGTAATAGGTGGGAAGTCTTGCTTGACCAGTGACTTGGGAACGTTGATCGAGCAATTAAATTTGATATCCATATGTTCAGCGATTAGTATAGTTCCTCCTGTAGGATTAAACTTAATTGACTGGAGAAGACGACCTGCATGATCTCCTGATGAGGTGACTGTATTGATCTTTAGAAGCCTGGAATCCATAGGAGGTGACAATGCACCGACTGGAGAAGTATGATTCAACCAGGCCGGGAAAGACTGGGCTACTGGTTGTACACCTACCAAGTCCGTCTCATGTGAATATGACTTGGTAGATGTTGTCAAGCCAAATTCCTTTGCTTCTCCTTTTCCACTAGCTAGACCTGTAAATTAAGAGGTATAATTTTATCACTGTATTTTTTCATGTTCACTTTCAAAAACATTGCCCTCCATATTATCTCCAAATATTGTCGTCATCATATTTCAACCAAATAATTTTGGTTCTGTATTTGTGTGATAGTTTCTTTTACAATAGTTTTGTAAGTATCCTTTTTTCTGTATTGCTTTCCTTGATTATTTTCTGATGTGAACAATTATTACTAAGCACCTAGGGTGCTTTTGTGGGGGAAGTTTGTGTGAAGGCCTTTATTAATCCATGAGTGTCTCTGATAGTTAACGTCCTATTGAGATATGGAAGAAAAGGTCCCGACTGCTGTACTTTGCTAGAGGTTTGCTTGTTTATTTCATTTCATTTTAGAAAATATATTACCCACATATAGGAACAGACAGAAACTCAAGAGCATCTGAAGCATTTATTAACATTTTTTCTCACAAAGAAACGGGCTGTAGATTGCAGGGCATTTGTACATATGAATGTTGTGAACACAGCATAAATAGCAAATATAATCTTCAGCAAAACTAAAGTTCCACAGGACAAATATGCAAGGTGTTCCACATGGGACTGACCTTAAAGGGCATCTGGAAGTTTCAGCTTGTACAAAATGTAGCAGCACAGCATGTGAGCACATAGATCAGCACACGTCACACCTCTGCTCTGTGAGCTACACTGGTTGCCAGTTTGCTTGCAGGTTCAGTTCAAGATGCTGGTAATCTATATAGTACTAAAACTCTCCTGCCTGCTTATCTGTTTGTAACCTTTAATTATTCCAAATGGTGCACGATAGCACAATAATTTTTGAATCAAGGGCCTTAATTCCACTAACTTAAAGAATGCTGATAAAATCCAGGACCATTCACGCCTGTGTAATTGAAATTTTTGGGATTCTCACACCAGTTCTATTGGCAAAGTTGTGGCCACTGCAGCACTGCCACGCTACTATGGTCATGTGATTGTGATTTCCAATGTTTCCTGCCAGCTTCTCACAAAGTCAAAAGAGAAGCAGGCATGAAATTGGAAATCATTCCTGCTCCCAAAATAGGACTTCTATAAGACTGCCTGTGTGAAACTACTAACTCACTGTTTTAAACCCAAACACTGTGATTGATTAATCCCTGCATATTTGCAAATTTCATTTACAGAAAATCTTAACAGAAGAAAATCTTAACTTTTCTTTACAGAAAAGTTAACTGCACTTTCCCTCATCTGCCTTCCAAAGTCAGAGACTTCTCCCTTAAATGTTGCCAAAATGCAGAGGAGCCAGATAGGTGCCAAAAAGAGGCACCCACTTGCCTTTCTTTTCACATTAATTGCATATCTTTACTTATTTTTCAGAATCCATGATCTTCTGAACGTTTGTTTTCCCAGAATTTGTCCCAGATATATCTTCTTTTTAAAGGCTTGGTACAGATTTTAAAAGTTTATGTCAAAACTTGACTGTATTTTCAGCTGAATTCTAGTGTATAATTAATATCTCATCTTGTTTGGAGATACAACATGTGACTCATTCAATAATATGTGCATACATAGTACAAAAACTAATCTCACCTATCCCCATTGTTATTTTGCTCTGGAGCAAGGTTATCTTCTGGATTTGGGACAGCCCATTTTTGGAAATGGAGGGTTTACTTTAGAGTTTCAAAAAAGAAGTGAAATTTATAGGACAGATGAGATCACATCACATCACATGATCTCATCTGTGTTATCATATCACCTTATTCAAAATTTTAAAATATGATTATGTTCAGCCTGTTTCTTTCTGCCGTGTTTTCCCGAAAATAAGACAGGGTCTTATTTTCTTTTGACCCCCGAAATAAGCACTTGGACTTATTTTTGGGGAGGTCTGTTATTTTTGAGGTGCAGGAGGTGGCAATCGTGGTCACCTCATGGCTGCTGCTGTGTTGCAATATTTTCAGGGGAGAGCTTATTTTAGCGCATGCGCTCAAAACCCTGATTCGGCTTATTATCTGGGGAGGTCTTATTTTCAGGGAAACAGGGTAATACTACTGCATTTTGACTGTTTTTTTATTTAAAGAAAAATGAAACTGGCATAACTTCCCCTTAATATTTTTTGCTGACAGCCCCACTACAATTGCAGACAAAAAAGAAGGGAAAACTAACAAAACTAAAACATAGAATATAGACTCATAGGGCTGAAAAGGACTTCAGAGGTCTTCTAGTCCAACACCCTGCTCAAGGCAGGAAACCATATACTATCCCAGTCAATTAGTTGTCCAGTCTTTTTTTGAAAACCTTTACTGACGAAGCATCCACAAGTCTGGGTGGACTATTTATTCCACTGACTAATTGTTCTTAATGTCAGAAAATTCTCCTTACTTCTAAGTTGGATCTTTCTTTAACAAGCTTCCAGCCATTACTTCTTGTTTTTCCCTCTGGTGCTTTGGACAATGTCAGTCCCTCTTCTCTGGGCAGCCCCTCAAATACTGGAAAACAGTTATAGTCTTCCTCAATTCTTCTCTTTCATAAGTAAATATACCACCCTCCCTCAACTGTTCATCATATGGTTTAGCCTCCAGATCCTTTATCATCTTTGTTGTTCTTCTCTGCACACTTTCTAAGGCAGAGGTCCCCAACCTTTTGGGCACTAAGGACCGATTCTCTGGAGAGAGGTTTTCCATGGACTGGACAGGCGGTGCTTTCGCAGGCTGCCTACATCCCACAGATGAGCTTTGCTTCTTTGCGCAGTCCGGTTACTGGCATGCCACGGACTGCTGCCAGTCCATGGACTGGGGGTTGGGGACTCCTGTTCTAAAATCTCAGCATCTTACTTTGTATCATGGTGACCAGAACTGTTTGCAGTATTCCACGTATGGCCTTATTATTGCAGTATAAAGAGGCATTATCACTTCTCTTGATTTGTCCATGACTATATAGTAATAGTTTACCTTCCTTATGGAACAGAAATTAATAAGACAGAAAATATTGAAGATGGGATAGTCTAATTAAAAGGGGGGGTTGATTTCCTTTTCTGAAGCAATAGCAGTTAAGCAACAGTTAAATAAGCACATTTTACCAGACACAGGCAAATCATGAACCTCCACATAGTCCTGGACCCCACTCTAATCAGGTCAGCTAACATGGTTAATAGGGGTGACTGAAGATGTAGCTTGTGTCACTGTACTTTACCGGGACATGGGCATTGCTTGAAGATGTCTTCAGAGGAGAACTAGTAGGCACTTTGCCTTTAGAGAGCATGAATGGACAAAGCATCTCTGGCATATTTACCATTTGTGCAGACACCTCACTGAATGGGAAGTATGGATTTTGCCTTTAGGGAGGAATCCATGGGGAACTTGCTTAACAAATCATTACAATGATTTTTTTTGGGGGGGGGACCAAATCATTTCTATGATTTGAAGAAGCACAGGTTCCAGTTTCACTTCCAAACTCCAGATTTCATTACTGTTATTTCAGAGGACTTTTTCAAGGCACACACCAAAGGAATCAATTCGTTTTGGTTTTTAGGAATAGCTTTCTCCTATCCCCAAAATAGATTACTGTAGATTAGCCTTTTAATGCTGTTATATTTTTCTTTGGCATTTTTTTCTTCAGATATGGGATGAGTCACATTACCAGCTGGCATGCATTTCCTATAGTCATGCCAAAAACAGTACCGGATTACAGCCTTCTTGCATCCATGCACTATTAAATGCAGGTTTGGTATATGTTTTACCATTCTAGCTCATCACATTTGTATCCAAGAAATGCAGAATAAAGTTTTGTGAGAATAATTTTATGAGCTGGTAATACTGAGCAGAAGTTAATTTTATGAGATTTAGAACCAGAGTTCCTATACAGTATATCATTTAACACATCACTGTGGGACACATCCACTATTCCTAGTATTTTTATAAGAAAAGCTAGCAGTAAAATCAATGCAAGTGCAGTTTATAGAATGTATTTATTTTGCACGATCTAACATTAATTAAAAAAATACTGTAATCTAAATCAGCTCTGTTTAATTAGGACATTCTGCCGGTCATAACAAGTAATTTAATATACTACAGATTAATATCTTTGTACATATCACATCCTGACCAAATGGTTCTCTAAACAGTGAATTCGTCTTATCGATGCATAAATTTGTCTGACTCAAAATAGGCACAAACAAAGCACTCTTCAATAGCCCCATCTACCATTGTCCTTCACTGATTAAGCTGCCTTTTTGAATATTTACTCGAATAAAGAAGTGGAAGAAGTATTAAGTAAGAGCTTCAGCCTGGTCATCCCGGAGACAGGCTTCAGATGGGCTTACTCTGCAGATGCCAGCTTCCTCTTTATAACTTCACCGAGGATTCAAGTTCCCCGCTTCCCGCTGGATACAGCGCCTGGCTAAATAGTGCAGCCCGATAATTAGAGCCTCATCCAGAGAACAAGGAAGGAAAAGAGGCGCCAGGCAGGCAGCTGTTTTCGCCCCACGCATCCCCAGAAGACTATCGCGCCCCTCCAATTGAGGTTTCCATTTGGACTTGGCTCCCCGTAGTATTGGGAAGCGTTTCAGAATTCGTTGAGTTCAGACAAAACCCACGTCTTGCTTTTTGGTTCTAGCATAGCCCTGTCTCCGCGTTAGAAACTAGTCAGGAACACTTGGTACGTGGGAAATGGAAATCAGCATTCCTTACGGGTGCCCTAAAGGTGCTTTTCCAAAAGGCATCTGGACTTTGTTTTTTCTTGAAGAACTTTCACTTCTCATGAAAAATGTTTTTTCTTGAAGAACTTTCACTTCTCATGAAAAAGACAGTCCAGCTGCCTTTTGGAGGAAAAAAAAACATCTTTGGGACAACCATAACCTGGATGAGTGAGAATTTCCATAGACANAGAGAGAGACAGAGAGGGAGAGAGGGAGAGAGAGAGACAAACAGAGATAGAGAGGGAGAGAAAGAGAGAAACATAGAGGCAGAGAGAGAGAGAGAGAAAGGGAGAGACAGATGGAGAGAGAGGGGTTGATGGGGGAAGGAACATCTGTA